GAAATCGATAGTTTCACTTTTTTGCAGGAGAATGCTTGTAAGACTTTACGCGGGCGGATAGACGGACAGGCGGACACGCGAACGATCAAGAACTTATATACTTTATGGAAACTTTGAAGCTTCCTTCCCGCCGTCACAAACGTTTTGACAAAATGATGATATCCTCATCTTTCTTTGAAGAGTACAACGAAGAGAACAAAGTTTTTTCTTTTGCTTTTAAGAAAATTGCTAAAATTGTTTAAGAATTAAGATTGAACGTAATAGAAATTTCATCCGATATCAATATCATCTAAACTGCAAACAATATTCGTTTGTGTTATTTAAAAAATATCTTGTGCTCTTTAAAATGCCACAAAACTTTTGGTAATAATCAGTCGCTTTTTTTTATTGGTTATGCGAACGTAGGTTACGAAGTTAGGTTAGGGAGTTAGGTTAGGAAGCTAGGTTTATATAAGTAGTAACGTAAATAATGTGTAACATTATTGATTAATGTGATAATCTCATGAGATTTCTGCACCGGTTTAAGCATTTTTGTCCGTCCGCCTGTATTTAACATTCTTTCAGTCTTACAATATCTATAGAAAAATCTGAAGAATCGTCCACGCCCATATAAAACTACTAAGTATTGAAATTTAATTGTTTTCTTACACCATCTGATATACCGAAACGTAAGCTTCTGAATTGTTTTAAACACGTCCCTCTGTCCGTCCGTCTATGTTAACTACGTTGTTAATATCCGTCGGGCCGAAAAAATTAAGCTGTCGCTTTGAAATTTGATTGAAACATTATAGGGTTTCTATCGAAAACTTTCTTGCGCCCAGAAGAAAACTTTATAAACTCCGTAAAACTTGGGCATTCTTAATCAATGTCAAATTTGAAATGTTCATACACGTGTCCGTCTGCTGATCTGTCCATCTACCCGTATCGAAAACTATGTAGTGTCTCTGGTAAACATTTACAATACCGATCCAATCAGAGTTACTTTCTGAGTGGATCCAAACTTCTGTCCATTTTTGCACCTATCCATCTTGTTTGATTTTTAATAAAACGTGTTACCTCGGCATGTTTTGACTCAAGGTCGAACGTCATTGAATATAGTTTTGATTGGATCACTATTTCGATCACTTCCAATATAAGAACTGACTTTCAAAACTCATTACATCAGCAACCGTATTAAGCGAAGTAAAGTAGGGTGTTTAATGGTCAGTCATGTTCCACTATAGTGCTTGAATATAACTATTGGATGTGATGATATTTATTGCATTCGGAACGGATTAGATTGGACCACTTTCTTCCTTTTGTTTAGGAAAAGAACTCCTTTTGCAATAATTGTTGGCAAAAACCGACGAAAAGTGTTTCTTTGACATAATAGTAAGTAAATTTCGAAACTTCGATGGATGTCAGAGATCATCATTTTAAATTCGCTGCTGATTTATACAAACAATTCAGTTTTAGACTACAAAAGGTTCCCGCACTCGGCAATAAGAGCGAAAATTAGCTAAAAATTGGATCTTAGACGAAAAAAAGAAAGTTAAATACAATAAACTTGTTTCGGTTAACGACCTTCCTCTTCCACGCACGAATTTTTTATTTTCATGCGGCAAGCATTTTGAGTTTTTCGGTAATTCAAGATGGGCCTTGGACCAGGTTTAAAATTTTAACTTGTTTTTTTTTTTTTTTTAATAATGCCAGCGTTCTTCAGGGGGAATGCAAACCATTTTTTCGTTAAGAAGGTGAGCACTTGCAAAAAGACCAAAAAAGTTTTCGCTTTAACATATAATATAACAAAAACAACACATCCAGCTGATAAATTATTACAAAACTTGATTTTCTGCAAAAAATTTACGAAATTTTTTTTTTAAATTTTTGTACAAACCATGGTATGACATGATTGTATATTCATTTTATGAAAATGGTTCCAGCAGAGATTGTAAAAAATACCTATAAATTCTTAACCAGAATTGTCGGTCTGTCCATCCGTATAACAATTGTGATTCTCTTCATCGCAGAACTAAAGCTATCGACTTCAAATTTGGCGGAAGCATTGAAAGGTCATGCGCGCAGGTTAGTGTCGGAAAAACGGAGAAAGTCGGTCACGTTTCCTCGTTGTTATAGAGTATAAAAAGTTTTTTGTTTTCGTCTTTCTCATGAGGACATACAAAAGGGTTGTAAGAGATTCAGTCCCAATTGAATATAATTTTCTTATTTATTTTAATTGAAAATATTTTTAATAAGTTTCATAACTCTATGCGTTCAACGCATTATATGAAAGTCATTTGGAAAGTTTTTGTATTTCAAACTCTGACACTTGGAAGAGATATAGGAGTCGGCCGTTATCCTTGTTCAACATGCAAAATGCAGAAAAAAACTTTGAATTTCATTTTATTTAACAAAATTTTAAAATAATTATTTAGCTCAAGTTTTTTGCTCTTCGCTCCTGCTTGTTATTCTTCTACCAAGCCAAGCGTTGGCGTTGCCGCAAAAGCAAATAAATGCTTGTACGTCAGCTCCAGTTATATATAGATTAACAACTGCTAACTAAATCTTTCTTGGAGTTGTTGTATATTATTATTGGCTGAAGGCGACTGAATAGTCCCCTTAAATATTTCTCCCTAACGTCCAAAACGCAACCTAATACAGTACAAGTTTAATTCTTACACAAGGAAGGATCCAGAAATAGGCGTAGATGGTCCAAAGTTTGCATAAAATTATTATTAAGGATCAATTTTCATCACCACACATTAAAGCTTAGATCTTTCTGCTGTACAAAGGATCAAGTTTTGCGAAAATCCTTATTAGGGTACGACCCAAGACGTAGGCTGAGATGGTCCAAGTTAATTTTTTAATGTTAAATTACTATTATGATGTCATTTTCATCGGGAAGCATTGAGAATTACATCCATTTATCGTATGATCTTCAGTTTTCGTTATCTGAGGGGGATTCAAAAATTGCCACAGCTGGTTCAAAGTATTTATATCAATTTAGAATGCCGAAATGCTACTATTTAACCACTTTTGCCGAGAAATTTTGAAAATTGCAATTTTTTTTGCATATAACGGGCTTTTCAGAATAGGGCGTTATGAACCATTTTCAATAGTGTTCGTTCTTCGGTTAAAGCATGACACTGCACCAAATTTTATCAAATTATCTCAAAAATTGCGAACTGTAGCTTTCACGCAATCAGATGGTTAGACGGCCAGACAGGCTTAGATAATTTCAGATTATGATTCTGAATCGATCGGTATAATAAAAGGTGGGCCTATCTAAATTCCTGCTGCGTGTTATATACGTCCGCACTAATTTAATTTACCTTGTACCACAAGTGGTGTAGGGTGTAAATACTCCAAAGTAATCCTTTGGTTAATTTCCAATATAAGTTTTTTTTATTATAAGATTGTCTGAGGCAAATTATTATTAAAGTTGTAGTCCAATCATTTGACATATCAATAGCGTATTTTAAAATAGCTCCACAGGGATATTGTCCTAGTACATGTATCATATACTACGTATCGTATAACATACATATACATAACATATTTCGTATCGTACAAGTTCTGTAGTAAAAAACATCTCTCTCTCTCTCTCTCTCTCTCTTCGTATTTGTGACCACGAATGCCATAGTCACTGTGCAGACGGACAGACGCAAGCGCTTGAATTGATTCCAAACTTGATATATATATATATATATATATATTCTTTCCATTTTATACTGAAGGATCAGATGTACAGAATACACGCGCATATTTTTATTGTTTAATGCTATCTATTTATAAGTGAAGAGCAAGAAATCCAATTTGTTTTTCTTTTGAAAAACAAGTTGTTCTCACTTTATGCACACCAGGGGTGTACCCTGGCTCATATTACACATCAACCTTCGTGCAAGAACTTGCAATATTTTTGCCGAATTGAGGCCGGTATCTAGCTGTGACGCAGTCGCTATGCAGATGTGGATAAATCATACATACATATATATGCTTAACATATTCTCCGAAGTTCCTTGAGGATGTAACAAACGCGTTGATAAAAGAACGTTGCTCTGATACCATATAGCATTGGGTGGTCGTTGTTCAAGCTCTTCATTTTATGCTAGATAATCTCATACAGAATATACTAAACCCAATTGTTTGTTGCGTTTGAAACACAAGGTATTCTAACTTTATGTTGTATTATGAGGATGTGCCTTGACCGATTCGGCCCATATTCCATGTCATGTCCATGTCAAGGGTTTTCAAGGTTTCTGCCAAATTCAAAGTCGATATCTTCATTTTTGCTATCACAGACCTTGCATGGACAGGCAGGCAGACGGACGGACTGACAGACAAACATACTTGAATAGGTTCATTTTTCCATGCTAATCAAGAATAATACTTTTTGGGGTCCCTGCAATTTACTTCTGGGCGTCACAAACGTTTTAACAAAGTATACATGACGCGGTGAATATGAAAGCCATTGCTATATTTTGTACAGTTTTAGTAAAATTTTGAGTTTTTCGTGAAATTTCCTTCTCATCAATTTATCAATTAGACAGACAGATAGATATAACTAACTAATCTCACTATTAACGCTAAGCAAGAATATTAAGAATGCAATCCTTTATATAGGGTCTTTGTTGAACATTGCTCTGCTTCAGTTGTGGTAGCTATAAAAGTATACTTGAATATATATATAGAGAGGGAAATATTTGGATTGCAAATAAAATATTCGAAATATTTTATTTAAATTTCAGTTTGTGTGCGGTCTACAGCACTATTTAAAATCTATTCTAAGAATGCAACTCATCGCTACCTACTCTTACTTCCCTTGTTCAGCTTGCCATTACTTTATTTTTAAAAAATTATTTTTCTGTTTCAAATTGTATCATAAAAACTTCCGTATTTTTTTTTAAATCTGTTTTTATTTATTTTTTTCTTTTTTTTCTATAATTTCAGGTATGTTATGTTTATCTACGTTAGTAATTTAATTGAGATTAAATTAAAACTTGTTTGTTTTAATACTACAGCTTACAACTCTAATGGTAAGTTGTTATTGTTGTTGTTGCTATAAAAAAAAAATAAATAAATAAAAAAAAAAACAAATAATTTTTTTTTTTTATTTTTAACTCCTTGTTTTGGTTTGTTTGTATTTATATTACTAAAATTAAAAACATTGATCTGCCAGTTACTGCTGAATTAGAAATAAAATGCCTTCACTTGCATCATGTCCCAAACAGGTTTCTGCAAAATTTAAGTAATCTTTGTCACCAAAAAATAATTATTTATAGGTTATCGAACCAAATACAGCCGAGATATACTGCAGCAAATATCAATTGAAAATGTATGAACGATGTATAGTCTGACCGTCTGTATAGACTGTTTGAACAATTTTAACTCTAATTTCGTAACGAATCATACGATGTTGTGACTTTCATTCACTTATGGGAATCATAATACAATAATACAAACGTGCTTTTTTTTAGTTTTCGAATTCAGTTTCTTATGGCAAAGCGAGCTGTACATAAATATAAAATATTACATATAATCGATATATGCTTGTGTGTGCAAATGGATGTAACACCGAGAAAGTCTTAAAACAGACACGCCTCTTATTATAATGATCGAGTCGATAGCATTTTTGGAATCGATCAAAGTTTGTCTGTCGGTCCGTCCATCAGTCTTATTGTTTTGTTGTCTTCTGTTCAACATGCAATTTTGTGCACTGACATATTTTGGACCAAGGATGAACGCTTTTATTATTATCATTAATTGCGTGGACAAACCGTACGGCGAGCTAGAAGATCTATTGTACTCGTTTATGTGCCTGGTCCTCTAGTTTTAGAATTTTTATAAATTCCGCCATCTCTCTTGCGTCGGAGCACCATACCGTGCCCGGCGTTGTAAAATGCTCGCCAAACACATGGTCTCTGATTTTCCGGAAGAAGCCGTGATTCGCGTCTAAGATTTTTTACAAAAATCGAACTAATCTTCGCTATCAAGGAGAAAGATTTATAATCTCTATAAGATAATTAATATTCTCTTTGCTATGACCGAGCGTTTTCAAAAACATCTTTTCTGATTTGGTAGAGTAATGTTTCAAATTCAACAACAGTTTAAACGTTCCACATACGGAGTTCTGTTACTGTATAATCGAGCTATGTTAACACGTTTACCCTACTCGTTAAATGGTTTCGCTACTTAAATTCGAATTTATGTTCACATCATCTTTAAGCTTTAATCATGTTCAACATGAAATTAAGATTGTACGACCCCTGCAAGCTCAACATGTTGGCTCTCTTAATAGGATAAAGATAAGTCTCTGTCTAGAAGTACGTACGGATGGACAAACATAAATTGACTAAGGGTCAAATATTGTTTTGTTTACTGGAGTTCTGATGAATAAATATCTTAGAAGTTATGAGCATGCAAAACTTGGGGATATACCTTCATCCGCCGGTGACGAGCCTAAAAAGTGATATGTAGTACCTAAAGTTGTTAGATTTAGACTCAACGGTTCGCTTACTAAGATAAAGAAATTGCGAAATATCAACTGATGGCAAGGATTCCGATGTATTTATCTCTCAGATATTAAGAACATTAACAACTTGGACTGCAAATTGACAGACCTACGAAGTCTGGTGTGCGGAGTTTAAGATTCTATTCGAGATTAATACTTACTATCGAAGTTTTGCGATCTAAATTCAACGCTTCTCTTGTTAGGGTAAAGAGTGGCAAAATACGACTCGATCAGATGGACGGATGAATGGACTTAAATTGACTAAGGATGATGTCATATTGTTTGCTTTTCTGGCTCCTGGCGAATATATATCTCAGGCATTATGAGCATTCAGAACTTGGGCGGCAGAGTTCAAAGTTTTTCGACTTGAACTCAGTCTTTCTCTTTTTGGGCTAAAGAGATTGCTAAATACCAATTAGACGGATGGACAGACCTAAATTGACTAAGGACGATGCCACCTTGTTAACTTTACTGGGTTCCTAATGAATATAAATTTTATCAGCATTCAAAGCTTGGGGCTCTATCCCCATTCCCCGGTGTGATGAGCTCAAAAAGTCTGGAATGTGAAGCTTAAGCCTCTACTAAAGCTCAATACTTATTGAACTCACTAACTAATCAATTGCTAAATAATTAAAGAATAGTCATCACCTTAGAGGGATTTGCTAAAAGGCTCCTAAACACTACAGAATGAACAACAAGTTTAGCAATTCTTGCTTTCAATTGAAATTCTTTTATGATTGATATGAAATGCACTGGCATTAGCTAAATTAAGAAACAAAAGTCGTATTATTGTTAGCGCCTCGCTATTGATATATAAATCGAATGCGCAGCTCGTTGTATGTGTGTAGCCTCATCTTCATCATCAGAACCTAATAAAAGTCGCTGGCATTTATGTATTATGATAAAACATTGTAAAATTACATCAGAAATTTTTAAACTTAACTTAATAATAATGAGAAAAGTATATATACATCTTGATATCCATCGCAGATGGCAGAGGCGACATCGGTACGCTTAAAAAAAATATGTTAATCAAGTGAATTCTTATCCTAAGAACATGAAAGCATTAATACTTATGCAGCAAGTCTCAAGCTCATTAATTAGGGTAGGGAGGTAACTTTCAAAGAAAATATTCAAGAGAGAGTAAATCAATGAAAATCTTTCTTAGTTTGCTGCCCCTACCCTTGTTATGCACACCGATTGAAAATGTATAATGAAAAAATGCTGGCAGTAGCGTGTACACAAAACTATAACAACATATCAGCTCTCTAGCTGACTGGCATGAATGAAAATATTTTATATGCGAATTTATCGTCTCGTCGTTGAAAGTTCAGAAATTTACGTCGTTTATTATTATTATTATTTTCTTCTTTTTTTTTTCTTATAACCATCACAGTAGATATATTAAATTCGTTAAACGTTTGAATAGCCATGGAAACCTTATCTTATAGGAATTGTCTAACTTTCTGGAGGGCGCCGTTTAAGCAGAATTAACCCGTGTGTCATCGGGCACAGTGGCGCTAAGCCGACAAGGTAGCGCGTCCACGTTAAACCACGAAAGATATCTGTCGTCACATATCACATGAAAATCTTTTTCTTTTTTTTTTTGTCTGAACAGGGAAAAGTGAGGGAACGTGGAACCCACTTTAGACAGATTCTTCTTAGGAGCGAAAGTTTATGCAAAATGATAAACACACTGCCTTTTCATATCTTTAGGATGTTCGCTATGGCGCTCAGCAGCAGTTTTCGTTCTTTCAAATAGATTTTAGGCAGAAGTTTTTTCCTTTTCCTGGATCCACTGCCGAATTTAGTCGATTAGGAGTAGGTTTCCGAATCATCGAAGTAAGTTCTTAAGGCTTAAAGTTTAAAATCAATAACCCTTCGACAACTTTTTGTTTTCGAGGTAACATGCCGAACGTTATTTTTTCCATCAAGACACGAAATTCTTTTCTCGTCGATTGTTTTGGAAAATGCAACACTTGGGTGACTAAAACCCCTGCGCTCAGTAAATTCATTATTAAGTTGCTATGATCTTACAACACAGCCCTGTCAAAAGTTGATATTAGCAGAAATCATAAGCGTCTATCAGCAGTGTTGCTATATACGAGATATTCTCAAAAACAAGAGTCACTTTCCGAATTTCGTGTTCCAACTCACTTAAAAGTGTGGACCGCGGGCAGGAGCAAAAAATAAAAATATAAAAGCGGTACGAGGTCTTTGCAAACTGTCGAGAAGATGTTAATGACAATACTCGCTCTGGTCTCTTCAGCAAGTCGAAAACTAATGAAAAACTTAAAGCAAAGAAGAAATTTGTTATGAAGAATCGTCGAGTCACTATTAGAGAGGTTACCAGCATATCGGTTGTCTCAATGCACGGCATTTTTGCAAATGTTTTGGGCATTGAACGTGTAGCGCGTGTGGTAATGAGCCAGCTCTCAAGTGATTGTTTGTTCCCAATTTTTTGCCCAAATATAACATCGTAATCTTACCTCAGCCAACATATTCACCGGACTTGGTCACCTCATGCTAGCTTTCCTTGTTACCAAAACTGAAAACACCAATGCAAGGACTGAGTTTTTTAAAAGATCACATAGCTGAAAAAGGCTCAAGGCCGTACCAAAAAGTCTATATCTGAAGCGCTTCGCCCCATTATATCTAAAGGGGATTACTTTGAGGGGAACAAAATAGATATTGCTAAATGCTTTTCGTTTATGCCGTACCGGGGACATATTGAGTGATGTGTTATGTGCAATATTTAGCTACTGGAGATTTCGAGGGGATGTTATCAGGGTAAGCGATCGGAAGTTTTTTTTAATTCCGACAATCCATTTAAGCTTAACAAGAACACCTTCAGTACTGTCAATCGTTCAATAATTACACTGATTAAAACAGCATACGAGGTAAAGTCTAGATTTTGATGATTAAACTGGATCACGTACGAAACATCAAAGCGGTAATCATCCATCAGGAAAAAGGAACAAAATGAACAGAAATAAGGCTCATTAAGGTTTGTCAGGCAAATTTGTAAGAATATAACAACACTTGAATTGACGATTGCTAAGTTTGGTCCCTGTCTGGTTGTCTGATTGTCTGTCCTTCTGACGGGCTCATGAAATCAGAATAATCGCTTTAAAACCTTCTATACGGGAGTAAAATTTGATTTGAATTTTTTCCATCTGCTTATTAAGTTTTTTTTATTTTCTTGCCAACTTCTACATTTTGAAAGAAGTTTTAAATCCCATTCTACATATCCCGTTGATAAAACAACTCCGTTTAGTTTGAAAGTTATTTAAATCGCTCTACGGCAGACTCTAGAATTAAGCAAATATGTTTCCTAAGCGAGTGTAATATTATGTGGCGTCTGGTAGCTACAATTTCTATTTATGAGATGCTCCCAGGCACGATACGATGGACAAACTTTGTATTGTGACGATTAAAGTTTTGCTTTTTCGAAAACACTGTTTGGTTTTCGTTGGTCAGCTGTTTCAGGCGGCCTCACGTGGTTAGGCTAAATAACCTTGCCTT